GTCTCCCCGTAGACTGGTCGTGATAGCATGGGTGGCTGCGAGGCTCTGTTTGAGATAGAGAAGGGCCTGTTCATATTCCTCGGTCCACTCGAAAGCTGCCTCCTTGCGCAGGAGTTTGAAAAAAGGCAGGGCGTGTTGAGCGAATTTTGCGACGAAACGGGAGAGTGAGGCAAGCATACCATTCAGGACTTGTATGGATTTTTTCAAAGTGGGTGTAGGTAGGTCAGAGAATGCTCGACACTTGTCGGGGTTGGCTTTGATTCCTTGTTATGTTAGGTAAAAACTGAGAAACTTGCCTGCCTTAACCCCGAATGTGCATTTCTCGGGGTTGAACCTCATTCTACATTGCCTTGCTTGGGCAAAGACTTTCCTGAGATGAGCGGCATGGTCGGTGTCTACTCGGGATTTGAAGATCATGTCTTCCATGTATACCTCGAGCATATCTCTAATCTCGTTGCGGAAGACTTTATTCATCATTCGCTGATATGGTGCTCCTACATTTTTCAGACCGAAAGGCATTACATTGTAGTAATAGTTGCCCGAGCTGGTCATGAAAGCAGTGTAGTGTTTGTCGCTCATTGCCATTGGGATTTGGTTATAGCCCGAATAGGCATCCATGAAAGATAAAATTTTATAGCTGACCGAGTTATCGACCAGTATGTCAATATTAGGCAAAGAAAATGCATCTTTGGGACATGTCCGGTTAAGATCGGTATAGTCAACACACATACGCCATTTTCCATTATTTTTCTTAACAAGTACAACATTTGACAGTCAGGTTGAATACCGGGATTTAGAAATAAAATTTTCCTCTATGAGGTCTTTTACAGCTTTTTCAGCAGCCTATGTTTTCTCGAAAGATTGCTTATGCCTATGTTGTACTAATGCCCTAGCGACTGGATCAATGGCGAGTTGATGACAGGCGACCTCGGGGTCAAGACTGGGCATCTCCGCAGTGCTCCACGCAAACAGATATGCATTATCCCCCAATCAGGCCTTGATCTGCTTCCTCGCTAGGTCGGGGAGTCCGGTGTCGATCTTTACCCCTTTGTTCGGGTATTTGCCGAGAGGTACGAACTCGAAGTCCCCATCCATGATTGGTCGAAGAATCTCTTGCTCTCCGTTGTAAGATTCGTCTTGGTCGAAGCGAGTATCGAACGAGATCGAGTCGACTTTTGGAGGAGCCCTCTGCATTTTCGCCTTGATGGGTTATGGCTTTGACTGTTGTGGCTCTGGTCGTGCTGTCGTAGCTTTCTTGGCGGACCGTGTCCCGGTGTCAACTGTGTTATGTCCCTTGGCCTCCGCATTGAAGCATCTTCGAGAAGCTGTTAGGTCGTCCTGGATGGTGGCGACGCATGCCCTCTTTGTGTAAAACTTCATCTTCAGATGGACGGTGGAAGGCACCGCGGTTAGTTCTGCCAGTATCGGTCTCCCAAGGATGCAATTGTAGAGGGATGGGTAGTTGATGACCAGGAAACGCACCTTGACTTGCTTGGTAGCAGTGTCCTCGCCGAAGGTGACCATTAGCTCCACGTACCCCCACGACTTGGAGGTCGAGCCATTAAAGCCCTGCAGGTCGGATCCCATGTATGGTGAAAGGTGAGAGTCGTCGAGTTGCAGGGTTCTGAAAAACTGGTTGTACATCACGTCGACCAGGACACGATGAACATCAAAGTTGGCCATTCTTGCCCTGATTAGGAGAGGGATGGCTGAATTGAGCCCCCCTTGGAAAATTCCTTGAGGTAAAAGGTGATTGGCTCTGATCTGCCTTTAATCCTCTCGAAAGTTACCGTTTCCGGGGGGTCGTGTCGACCAGCTCATCCAACTTCCTCTTGGCTGAATTTATAGTTAAGTCATTAAACCCTCTACCATTTATGACCATGGCGGAGGGGAAGTTTTCCCACATGTTGTGCATGGACAAAAGCTCTTGCATATGTTCAGAGACGTAGAAGTCCTCCGATCTCATAACGAAGAATGCGGTTTGGATGGGGACCGACTCGTCATATGGTCGGGTATCCTCCTCTATCTCCCTTGTTTCACGGGCATCTCGATGAGGGGCGTCGTCGCGCCGATATTGCCCGAGTCTCCCCCCTTTTATGAGGGTCTCGATAACATCCTTGAGATGGACACAATCTTCAGTTAAATGCCCATGACTCCGGTGATACTGACAGTATTTACTCTGATCTGCCCCCGGTTTAGTAGGAGCGGAGCGAGGATGCTTGACGTCGCCGTCCTTGAAATATGTGTTTGCACACTCCTCCAAAATGCGCTCGTGGGAAGCCGTTAGTGGAGTGTACTCAATAAACCTTCCCAAGGGCCCCCTCTATTTGCGAGGGTCCCGGGGTTTGTCGTCCCTTCTCTTCTTGCCAGTTCGTCGAGGAGGGTCGGTGTCTTGTCGCAGATTGCTGATTGATCTGTGGTTCTTAGGGTCCCGAGATCTGTTGGCGGCTTCCCTCTCCTCATAGTCCATGTAGGCTCTGGCTTTTTCGAGGAGGGCATCAAATGTCCGGTGCAGTTTGATGCCTACGGTCTTTCTGAATTTTGTGCCTGGGAGGAGTCTCCTCTCGAGCAGTTATCTCTTCATGTGATCGGTACAGGGGACTTGGATGGCCTCCCGGTTGAACCGATCAATAAATTTCCTCAAGGTCTCGTCGTGTCTATGGACGATAGCCTCGAGGGCTGCTTCGGTCTTTGAGTGTCGTTGCGAAGGAGTGAACGAGCTGATGAATTGGTTCTTTAAATTTTGCCAAGAGGTAATTGACCCCGGGGCGAGACTCTTGTACCAGTCCATCGTAGCTTTCCTCAAAGTCGTGGGGAACAACCGGCATTTGATTGGTCCCCCAACATTGTGATAATGCAGTGTGGCCTCAAACCCGTCTATATGGTCGATCGGGTCAGCGATGTCGTTGTATTCCTTCAGGTGGGGAGGCTTCTCCATGCCCGGGGGGATGGGTGCCTCCATAATGGCTTGTAACAAGGGACCACGGGGGTCGTCTTCGTCACTCCTGTCGGGCAAGCGAGAAGGAGATCTGATGTAGTGGCGGTTCTGGTGGCCCTGGTCGCGCGGAAAGTTCCTTGGGCGGTATGGACGTTCGTTATTTTTTGCAGTATGATCAGTCATGACAGTCAGGGTGGTTTAGCTTTGGTCTCGAGTAAACGAAAGACGAGGAATTAAGTTTCCCACAGACGGCGCCACTGATCTTACCAGATCAAAATAGACAGTCACAGCTGGTTCAGACAGAAGTTGAATGAGATGGAGGGAGTACCTGCAAGATACTCTGATGGCAAAGTCAGTTGCGAAATGAGCAAGCAAACGTAAGAGTTAAAAAATGTTGAATACCTAACCCTCTCAGGAGAGAGGATATTTATAACCCCCAGCGTTGGGCCAAAGTTCCCATTATTGGGCAACAATGAGGCCTAACAACGAAAATTGTCAGGACTTACGTGTGTATGGAGTCCAGCAAGTGGACTCCCTCCTGGTCAACTGCTCCGCGAGAATAGATGTTGGTTCCGTGATTCTCGAAAGACAGTTAAGATGACCAACATGAGGACGTGGGCAACGTTCCCCAACGGATATGTGGGGAGTTGTCCTACGATCCCTAACTTGAGTTGTCTGTTTGAACCTCATACAAAGGTATTGATTTGGACTTCCTATCCGATGGGCAAGTGTAGGCTCAATTCAGATCAGATATAATAAGAGGGCTCGCTGAATGTTACAAAACATCGGGGGGAAATATTGATAACATTATAGATAAAATAATAACTTCTAAAAATTCATTAGCATATTCCAAGTCGGAATAAACTTATATTTCTGAACTTCATAAGAGACTTATAATCAACCGGCACATACTCCACAGTTTTTCTTTAGATAAATATATCTTGTATCCAAACGATGATGTCAAATATAATATCAAGGATTCATGGGTGGGTAAGTTAAAAAGTAAAAGAGATAAATATAAATACATACGATGTACTTGTTTTCTTTTTCTATTAACATAACTTTGTAAGTAATCAATCATATCTTGATCTAGCAAGGTAGGTTAAGTTAATCTTATTTGTCTCTTTGCTATTAATTTAAATTATAGTTTATTTTTTAGAGAAAGGAAAATTCAACTTGTTTGAACTAAGGATAATATAGAGATCATAGAACAAAATTTCACGCTAATAACAAAAAATCATTTCACATTTACCCTTTATAAAGTAATTTGAAATCAATTAAAACAACAAAGAGATTAGGTTATATAAACTACTATTAAAATTTACAAACAAATTTAATGTGGGTAAAAAAAACAAAAATTAAAAGATTCTACATAATTATATAATTTAAATTTTTATTTATTAAGAATCTATTTCACATAAAAAAAATTTTAATAAATTATATGAGATGGTTAAATGATGAACTTTTATTAAATGACAGTGTAAAGGTAGTTTTCCATGGTCCGATTCACTATAGCTGATGGAACAATCTATGGCTATGTTTTTTACTCTAACAGACCCAATATAGAAACAATTTTAATCTATTGAAGGTAAAACCGATCTGCCTAATGGTCATTTCTTCCCACCCAAACATTTATAATAAATTCAATTTTGACAAATATATTGCTCTTTGAAACCAAACACGCTAAGTTGGTGTTGGTTAATTTTTCAGCTGAAGATTCTCAAATTAATGTTTGGGGATAAGTCATCACTAAATGCGAGAGTTAAGTCATCACAAAACTTTTGAATGAAAAAGGAGAAGAAAATATAACTGCTAAATTAAAGAATACGAAAGACATCAAGAACATGATCATAAGCAAAACATACACTATATGACCACATAGATGAATGATCACTTTGTTTTCTTGTTTGATCAGTCATGCCTTCTGTGCATTACAGCTTTTTTTTAGTAATTACAGTTTTCACTTTTCAGTGAATAGGTGTGGAACATCCCTAGAAGCCCTGGATGGTTATAAAAATGTTGGAAAAATAAAAGGCATGACTGAAATCTCCTACACATGGTATTAGAGCCCCGGAACATCTGTAACCTGCAATGCAGCAATACAAAACTCCACATCAGAATCTACAGCAAAAAATGAGTAATCACTTGCTCTCGACATTACAACAACAAAAACTAAGCCTTATCACACCAAATAGGTTCGGTTTAGTGGACAAAGATATCAAGCTGTGACTAGGATGTTCCAATAAAATGTCTAGATATAGTAAGACTAGATACATCATATATATGTCACATTGCAGTAATACTATTCACTAGATGTGCCAAAATGGACAATGTTAAACTTACCAGGTTATTTCTAGCAGAAAGGTGGTAGACTTTTTATGTCAGTTATGTTAATTAATTTTAGGAATAAATAAAAAAAGGAAAGGGAAAGTGGCTATGGAATCATTGAGTGGTTATGGGAGAGAGAGACCAAGTTCTCTAATTCTTGGAAGGGAGAGACCAAGACTCTCAAATGTTTGAGTAGGAATTGTCTAGTAATAGTATACTATCTCTTTCTTAAGTTTGCGTTGGAGTTTTGCATTCTCTCTAGTGTGTGTGATTCTGTTTCTGTTGTAAGGATATTCTGCCATCAATGGAGTAAATTTCTACAACAATTAAATGGTATTTTGGCGCCAGTTTCTAACAAAAAGTTTTGAAGGTTCAGCGGAGAAGTTGGCTTTAAACATAGTTCCTGTGTGAACAAAATGTTGCCTAATGTCTCTCCCCCTATCCCTATTTTTCACTTTATCTAAAATTTAAACAAAGATTCAATGATAGAAACCATTAATTATATTTAAAAGTACTTCCAAAAACATATTTTAGACAAAAGTTATTCAAAGAAAAAAAATAAAGTGTTAATATTTCGAAACTTGTTCAAACTTGTAAAGGTTTAAATTATTCAGAACTGGTTTCTTAATTTTTCAAACATTGCAGCATATACTGCAACCTCCTATAGATTTTATTCCAAGAGGAGCATAGGAGCTTTTCCGAGGGACACATCATATATGTAGTTAATGCAATCAAATCTTATGCAGCAAGCCCCTTTACAGTCATCCATCAAAACAGAGGCAGCATCATTCATTGAAAATAAGCAAAATAAATACATTCCACATTCTGCAGTAACATTGAGAGAGGAAGATGATTGACTTACATGAGCAACATATGTATCCAAAAGAGGAACTAAAATCTATTATCAACTTTAACACCAGCAGGACCCTCTTCCCGGTCTTCCCGAGAAAGAATGTCGCTCATAATCTTCTCCTGGCCACGCCAAAGAATCTGGAACAGTGTGTTCCAACATTGGTCAGCAAAGCATGTTTGAGAACATAGACTGAAGATAATCAACTAAGAGCCTATTTATTTTTACTTTTTTTAAATGTGATTTAAAAATTTGTGGTGAAGTAATTTATCCTACAAATTTTAAAAATAGATTTTTTAAAATAAGTGATATTTTTCATAAAAAATTGAAACGAACAGACTCTTAACCCAATGTAAACAAGCACTTACTTTGTCAATGACCCCAAATTCCTTTGCCAATAATGCGTCCATGTAATATGATCTCTTCATTACGTTAGCAACTTTCTCCTCAGACTAGTAGTTTAGAGAATAAGCAAAATACAAAATATTAGATCCTCCTACATGTGTGTTGAATAAATATGATATGTAATACCTAATGCATGATACTCACATTTCCCGTATGCTTGGCCAGTAGTTTAACTAGAGTGTCCCTGTTAAATATCACCTGAAAGTTTTGGAGTACAGGCAAAGATTTCATAGACATAGTTAGTTGGACATTTAGGTTTAAATACAAGAACATCAAGAGTGAAGAAACAGAGATAGATGTGCAGATTTATGAAAGAGTAAAGAGTGAGAAAGAATGGCCATTCCAAATATATGAGGGATTTATAAGATTGGAATATCTGAGTGGATATAAAACGCAAGTCCTGAACAAGAAACGTACTAAAATTCACATTTACCATCTGATTATGGAAATTGAGTTTGGATACTAAGAAAAAAAATTGAAAATATGCTTCAGATACAGTAAGGAATTACATCAAGATATTGTATAGTTGAAATGAAATATGAAACTTCTGGTCACCAAGTGAAATGACTAAAAAAACCTGACATAAACAAAGTATCAACATGAAACTATTATTGATAAGAAAATTAGTCCCATTAAAATAGTATGGCAGTATAATATGAACATGCCAATTGCCAGACAAGACGAGAAGGAAAAAAAACAAACAAAAACACAACCAAACTTTATCATTCCGGGTTTGACTAACCTCCTTTGCATGAATAAAAATATCACTTGCAGGTCTCAATCCAGTTGGTGGTACACGAGGCTGCTGAAGCAGGGCTGAAACAGTAACCAGTATAAAAGTATCAAATCTGTGAAGAATCAAAGGACGATAAGCAAAAACATAGAAACAATTGGGTCCAAACTGTACCTTTTGCATGGGGCAACGAATAGCGTTTGCCAGGAGTCCCTGCTGCAAGTAGTAAACATGCATGACCTACAGCAGCACCAAGAGCCAGAGTGTGTATCTGCTCAGGGCACAAAAGCCAAGTACGTTGGACAGGACATTTTCAATTGTTATCAAAGAGACTAATCAATAGCTTAAAAAGGGATATGAACAATTGCACATGATTCTCAGCAGACAAATAATTAACCTATCATTTAAAAAATACATTACTCAGATTAAGTCAAAAACAAATTCCAGGTTGTATGCCACTTAAAATTTAACCGTGGCACTAAAAAGTATGCATGCAATTATTATAAACATAAGTTACTGAGTCACCATGCTACTGGCAGCGTGAAATCGTCTATACAACAGCATAATAGTTGATGGGATAATGTCCAAATCATCATAAATTCACAATTACATTATATTGCACAATTTCCATAAACCAAGCAGCCCTCAACATTGTCTCATCATATTACTGTCTGTCATGTACAATCATCAACAAGAAATGCAAGTAAATAATCATCTGAAGTGCATCGTCAATGGGAAGAAACAAACCTCGGTTTTCATCTGCATCATTGCATCATAAATGGCAAAACCTTCTGACTCCATCGCCACCTGAAGTCAAAAACAACAAATACATGAAATAGGAAACTGAGAGACGAGGGACGGAGGGAAGCAGATAGTATTATCGTACAGAAATAGTGAACCATACAAAGCAAGTGTCCAAGTGCGGACAGTACATCAAACATTTCAATTAAGAAGCAAGTTGTTAGCCAATTACCGTTTCTCCATCATCTCGTGCAGTCCCAGTAGAGTTTATGTAAACATATATTGGTTCTTTAGAATCCATATATTGCAAATACATAAGCTCTGCGATAACAAGCTCTGTAACAGCCGACACCAACTGATAGATAAAAACAAAAAACAGTCATAACAGTTTGTACAAATAGCAATCATCAAAATAGTATTCAATCATTTGAGAGCATTAAAAGGCATAATACATATAAGCTTGAAACTCAACCCGTCACAGAATACTGATAATTTAAGCAATACAGTCATAATTTGCACCAAACACCAAAGCATAAATGAACACTTACAGGCATGCCAATGTAAACAATACGACCATTGAGCAGCAGTGACGGAAGGTCAGGCGGTGGCCTTCTAGGGCGCTGTTTGCTGTATGAAGCAGTCCTTTCAAGCTATTTCAACCACACAAAACAAGGATAATTAAAATTAATGCAGAGAACATAACCAAAGAATTTACTCAATCAGTAATCATCATTAAAAATATTTGAATTCAATCATAACTAGTTCCAGTTTCCAAATCACACACAGGATTGATTGTGATTGTTAGTGTGTCAAAATTAAACATACACAAAGCATAGAATAATTTCTGAATTTCAATTTCTAACACGAAATAGAATCCTATCGAATGAAGAGAAAACGAACGAAAAATTTACATGAGCGGGAGAGGCCATGAGTTGAGGGGAATCGAAAATGTCCAAGAGAGGAAGATTATCGGGATTAGAGGAAGGGTTGAGGAGTAATTCGGGGGAAGAAGCAGCGACGGAAGAGAGTTTGGAGAGAAAAGGGTCTTTAGGGTTGAAAGGGGGCATGGGAATTTTGGATTTTCCTATTGCGTTAAGGGTTCTGAGAGTTTTCAATCTTGTTGGAGGGAAACGAGAAGAAGGAGAGTAAGAAGGTGAAGCGGGCATGGAAGTAGGTATGGATATTGGTACTCGGAAAAATGTAGCCATTGTGATTTTTTCCAGAGACTTGTTGCACTTGCGCACACGATACTGTAACTCAAAATAAATGCAGGAGATATTACCGAGAGGATATATGGGGCGACAAATTGTGCAAATGTTTTGTTTTGTTTTTATTTAAAAATATAAAAATGGATACTTTAATTATTTTATAATTATATCTTTAGTTAAATATATTTTTCGGTGTTTTTTTTTTTAATAATTAGGTATTGAAAAAAAAACATAAATAATTATTATTCGAAGAAAATTACTCAAATAATTATGTTTTAGAAAATATTTGGCCTTAGACGTCGTCCCACATAACGCATACTAGAGCTGTCAAAATGGGACGAAGTCCATCAGGCTCAAAAAAAGTTAGAGCATGGACCTTTTTTTCGAACTCATTTATTTTTGAACTTTTTTTAGCCTGTCCCGAAAAAGTCCTAAAAAATATAGGTCGGCTCGTATGGGCCATGGGTAGTCTGTTAGCTTGAAAAAATTTAATTTTTTTTAATATAATTAGAAATTACCCTTTCCTAATTCATAAAAAAATGAAACAAAAGAAAAAAGTTGAAACTGATTTTGTATGAAATTTTAGATATGATGTTAGTGAAGAAAGGTATAAACAATTTGCATAAATAATTTATACCTTTTTTTTAGCCTATGTAGTATAAATGGTCCATTGGTATAAATTGAAAATTTTGATGTGCAAAGTGATGAAATTTTAGATATGTTATAAACAATTTACATATCATATGTTTTAATTTTTTTTGGTATTATAAAGGTATAAATATCTATGGGGTGGCAAAACGGATTAGATCCGCCGGGTTGGCCCGTTTGATCCGCTATTTTTTACGGATTGGGTTGAGATTTTCGGTTCGGTATCTTAAGTTGGTCTGCCCCGCCTAACCCGCTTTAATAAGCGGGCTGAGGCGGGGCGTGGCGGGTTTTCCCCGCAGGCTTTTTGTTAAAACTTTTACTCTTTTTATTAATAATTAAAACAAATTTAATTATAAAAACAACACTTATCTCTTAGGATTGTATTATAATTTATTATACAGACAAATTGAATTATAATTGTAACGTTCTTTCTATAACTTTCTAATACATGCGTTGATTGAAAATGATTGAAATAAAAGAATAAATGTATGACATGCATAATTATTAAGTTTTCAATATATTAGTTCAGATGTTTTCTTTAGAAATAGATGTTGATTTTATAAAAATGAAGGATTTGATTAGTGTATACGTGTGACAAATTTAGGATTTAACTATTAAAGAATCAGTCAATATAAGAGTTTATATAATGTAAATAGTGAGAAAGTTTGGGGTTGATATTTTACGCATTACTATTTTATGCAATGTTATTGTTATCATGTTTGTTTTGTGTAAATTCTAAACTGGGTTCTTTTAATAGTTAGTTTTTAAATAGGATTATGATGATATGTATTGTTTATTTATTTTGATATTTTTTATTATACTTGAGTTTATTTTGCTTTTTTGTTGTAATTGGTCTTTATTTATTAAAATTTTTGAATTGTTTGGACTTAAGACATCTTTAAGTTCTATTATGCGTTGTTAAAAAAAAAATTATCAACCTCTTTGGTAATAATCAATTTTTTTCTAAATTATGTATTAAATTAAATTGTAAAACTAAAAAATAAAAAATTGACGGGTCGGCCCGCCAACTCGTTAGTAAACGGGGCGGGCTTGACTTTTGAGCTCGGACCCCTACGTTGGTCCGTCCTGCCCCGCTGTTTCCAGTGATTTCTGGTAAACAACCGCTAGTCTTCCAAACTATCGAATAATCTTTCTGACTGTTATTCAATTCCTCTGGTAACTCACAGGATCGACTAGATTGATCCTAGGACTCCTTGGATATTAAGGTTACTCTTACGATCGAACAGATATTCATGGTTGATATTGTATATGTGTTTGGCTTATTTCGATTTCTCTCTCTAAAAGTCTAAAGATGTAATCAAAATGTGTGTGTGAAAACTAAGTTACATGAATAAATACTAATTGTAAAGACATGTAAAATTGCATAAAAGTGAAGTAAATGGTTTCGACCTACAAAACAGTTAATATAAAGGATTTCTGGAACGTAAAAGGTTTGAAATATGAAGAAAGCGTTTAATGCAAGAAATCTTTAAATGACTTTAAGTAAAAATATGCGTTCGAAGGATAAGACTTGAAGGTAAAGGTATGGAAAATATGACAGTTTTCTGAGATATAAAGTGCTTGAAATATGAAGAAAACATTAAAATGTAAAACTTTGAAGAAGAGATTTCGAAGTGAAAAGACTGTAAATGAGAAAACTTGTAAATGTTATTTGACAAAAGGATAAAGGAAAGTGCTGGAAATGGTAAAAGGTTTTCATTAAATCAGAAATACATGGTGCTATCATACATACATTTCTCTTGCATTCGTTTCCCTTGCCATGTGGTAGTTTGAATGTTACTGAGTATTTTGTATAATAGATATGACACACCAAATCCTAATACTAAGACTTCTATTTATACTAATTCGACCATAACGGTCTTGCTATAGGATTATGCCACGTTTAGAACATGCAGGACAATGCCTCTTTCGCCTTTCCACGTGTCCCCAAATGCTCCAGCACATAACTTTCAAACTTCGAAAGTCCCGCTTCCATTTGAATTTCAAATGCTTTTGTACTTCTCCGTTTCGAACGCTCTTCCCAAACACAGCCTTGTTGTTATTTCGAGACTTCTTTAGATATGTTCCCATAATTGCCACTCGAAGCTCCAAGCTTTGACATACTTATTCGAAACACTGCTTCTGCTACTTCGAAACATGACGCTTTACCTCATTTCGATCAAAACGTTTAATTCATTTGGCTTCTAATAACATTATCAAAATCTTCAGCCAACAAATTGCCCCTTTAAAATATGTATTTCGATTCCTCTGAGAAATACCTATTTTAAACACCTACACAAGATTTTGATGGGAATTTCGAATCATCGTAACATTTAATGCATTTGACTCCAGTCACGTCAATCATAGCACCTTTTGGATTCCTTAACCGCCTGGAGCCACTTCACAGCATGGTGCAGTTACAAATAATGATTATCTTTAAATCACGCCTATTACCCATGTTAACTTTACGCCACCTCTTCATCACACCAACCCATGATCTCCACGTATCACACCTTTATTCGGTGGATGCTTAAACTTCCCCATTATAAAACATCACCAACTTAATCTTTTTCTTTTCTTTTCACACTCTAAATCTTTTACCCACCTTCTCTCGTAAAAAAAAATCCAAGCTTTCAACATCTTTCAAAAATGTCTTCTTCTACTTCATCCCAACTCAAGAAAGTCTCCAAGAAGAAAGGAAAAACTGCAGGAGCTACCATGGAAAGTAAAATCATCACTCACCAAGGTCAATCCGTTCTTGCCCCTCAGATGATTTCAAAAGAAAAAGAAATGTTGTATGCGTCACAGGTACTCATTCCTACCAACGTTGCTGGTAAGAGGTTAGCTTTAAATGGCCCTCTTACGGTTTTTGAAATATTAAAAGACACCAGGACGATTTTCCCAGTTTGTTATAGCTTCAAACCCTTATTTAACAAAATGGACGCCCCTAAGGCAGTAGAATCTCCTAGTTCAAATACCATAGAAATCCCAACTGTTCCTCCTAAGGACCCCTTTGTTTTGGATTATGTAAAAAGTAATTTTAAGCCATTTCGATCTTGCCCCACTTCTGATATTGCTTATCAAAATTGGTTCACGAAAGTAGAAGCTAAGAAATCCCAGCAATGGGAAGAATTAGGCATCTATAACCTGATTAAGCTATCGAAGCCTGGTTTCACCTACAACCACCCTCTGCTATTCGCGTCCCTTTATTTCTGGGACAGTACCTATAACACTTTCCATCTCCCAGGTGGAATGATCACCCCAACCTTCTTCGACATAGCAGCCATCACTGGGCTATCGCCAGTGGGAGAAACTTATATACCCAACAACAAAGAACACTCAAGCATAATTGACTTTGAAGTCAAGCTAGCCAGTTTTTCCAAATTTATCAGTCATTACCATGCTGAGGGGGACAATGTGTCTGACGTAGAGCACATTGCTTTCTTAACCCTGTGGCTGTCAAGATACATTTTCTGCAGTAGATCCCTACAGGTAGCTAGTAGGTTCATTCCTCTAGCTAGGGACTTGCATGAAAATCGAAAAGTGTGCCTAAGTGAACTACTCTTAGTTGACCTCTATGAAAGCTTGAGGTCAGCTGTTTCGAGCCTCAAATCCCACACCTCCAAAAATATTCTATTGGCTGGCCCTTTTTGGTTACTCCAACTATGGCTAAATGCCATGTTCGAACCCTCCTTATCAACCGCCAACACCGTTGATGAGCAAGATTCTGAGATAAATGATAGGATAGTCGAAGGCACTAGGCTTTGAAGATTAACTCCCAATGACGACAAAGATGACTTCAAAGTTCAATTCTCGAAGTACATCATGATATTCTCCAAAAGGCACAAGTTCGAAGAGAGCATGGCGCCTTTTGCTTCGAGGGCTCATGGACCTTCTTGGTTCACCATGGCTCTCTCAGAAGCTATCAAGAGCAAGGAGATTCAGGATGTATGGAGAGCTTTTTTGCTGCCTAGACTCATTTCTTCAAGAATAACCCCAGCCAAGAACCAAATTTTTCTCTTTGCCTACCAACCAAACTTCGTTTCGAGGCAGTTTGGCTTATGCCAACTGATTCCTGAACCTTTATTTCAAACTGAGAGCGCCATCACTTCTGGACGAACTTTCAAGGCACGGGAAGCCAAAATACAGCAAGAACAATATCAAGGCTTTGCCCAATTTGAGCTGATAACCTTCGAACCTACCCATCTCACGGCTAAAGGATTTCTGGAATGGTGGACCAAGTTTTATCAAACTTATATGTTCGATACACTTACAATTCAACAGAAACTAATTGATGCCTTCGATGTGCAGGTACCAACAAAGAAAGGTATGTTTACTCATGCCAAAGAGAT